GTTCCACCTTGTGATGTCATGTGGTAATACAAGAAGTTCTCCACTGAGGACCATAGATTGGTGGTCAGTACATCATTAAATCATTGAGATGGGTTCTTATAACATAGCTTCGAACATTACTTTGAGGTCTTTATCACAATGCAATCTGGTCTTAATGAGGTTAAAGTGGTTATATTAGCACTAAAAAGTACTGACCTCATTTCATTTCATCATTTGGTCCAATTCAGGAGGAAGTGTGAAGGCCCTCAAAACTTTGTCTCAGAGCCACTTTGGGCCTCGGGCCATAGTTTGGACAGCCCTAAATACAGCAACAGAAAGAAGGCTGTTTTAATTCAGAATTTTGATCCCATCGTTACTCCATTGTGTAAATATGTCAATTCTCGCTAAGTACTATTGTTTCTCTTTGTTCAGACTTGCTTGTTGCTGCATGAATCACAGGTCACATGAAGCTCACCAAGATGACAAACTTTGTACAAATTAGCGCTGCTCCGACCACCACATCGATGTAACTACCTTTTTCCGCTCTGTGTCAGTTTGTTGGACAGGCAGCTTTTGACAGACAGGAGGAATGCAGGTGGAGGGATTCTGTTTTGTAGTGGCAGGCCATTCTTTGGGTGTCTTTAAGCAAACAGCGTGGTGCTATGTCCTGTTTTTACTGGTTTCACACGTCACTGTTCAAACTCTCAAACAGGCTGGGCCCGTAGAGTACATGCAGAGAGCAAACACAAGTCCAATGCTTCACCACGCTGACCTTCTGCTAACTGGATATGCACACATTCCCAAATACACACACACATTTGGTTTGTATTTATACAGACAGGCCAAGCGTAGCAAAGGATGTGTGAAATGTGGCTTTTAATCTGCCCACTTTATTTACTGTATATAAAAAGTTGTTTGTTATTGTTATGATGGTCCCAGACATGCCTCAACACACAGATTCAGCATCGGTTTTACTCAGAATATCCTCATGGACTGGACTCCAAAACAAAAAAAAATATTGCATCTAGTTTTATTTTACTTTTTTTGCTTTTTTTTTTTTTTTTCAATTAAGCCACATTTGAAAATCTTTAAAATAATAATATTTTTTAAACGTGGACATATTTTTACCAAATAAAACTTTCAAAATTCACTGATACTAATTTGAATGCTGTTTTTTTTCTTCACAATTTAAATTTTGTTTCATGTTTCTGAGGCCTTTTATATAATCAGAAGGTTCAGCTACTTTCTATTGATTCTAAAGCTAAACTCAATTTGTGACCTCAGTGTGGCTGTTAACTTTAGAACCTAAACAGGAAGGATGTTAAGTAAACTATTTCCTACTAAAATATGCCGATTAAAATGTAGTGTCTATGTATAAATACCACTAATAGAATTATATCTACCCACAACACCATTCTCATAAAGCTGGGTGGAGCAGCTTTTATCCAGAGACCTATGACGGCCCCTCCTTACACTCCCAGTGCTAATTGAGTGCCATTTCAATGCCTGTAGGTAAAATTCAGGGGGAAAACAGTAGGAATTCTATGGGAAAGCAAGAAACCTCATAAAGTGATATATTTTCAAGTGCTCCCTTAATTCCTACAAAAACGCACTGTAACAATATACTGTCTATTGAAATTTACGGCAAGCACATGCAGTGGGAATTTTGTGCACCCGAGACTTTATGTCATCCACAAAATGTTCCGGCAGGGATGGTAGGGCGTGGACCATGCAGGCACCCTACCAGGCTCGTAATGAGACAAAACAACATTACTAATATAAATAATGGGCCTACTTTTTCACTTTTTAGTTGTGATTTGAGGCTAGCGGAGAGAGTTTGAGGGATTCATCATACTGGGTTAGGTTTCCTACAGTGAGCAGATTTCTCAAGTGTGTACCTCCCAGTTGTGGCTCTCTGTTGTAGCTTATGGTTGGCCTCTTCATTGGGCTCCGTCATGCATGGCTTGTTTTAATCTCTCATGAGTGCTGTAAACTGGCCCTAATAACCCTCAGTGCGATTAAAGCACACGTCTTAATAACAGCAAGCGTCATTATCAGCTCGCAACAGGGAGGCCACTGCTCAAATTGTGCACATATGGATCAGATACAAAAAGTTTACACCAGGGTTTTGAATATTTCTAAGCTTTGTCAGTTAAACAGTGGGAGGTATTTAACAACATATAATTTTAGAATTTTCTAATTAGACTGAGCAAAGTGGTATGATTATGCATTCTGGCTATGACTGTACCTTCTAATAGTTGCTGCAATGATGCTTTTATGCTTGTGAAATGTTTCCAAGTATAGTGAAAGTTACATTAAAGGGAGCATATGTGTAGCTTGAGCTAAAAACTGAACTAGTCTCACAACTGAAACTGAACTGAACTTGTGAATCAAAACATCAGATGACAACATTGATCATGTTGTCATTTGACATCATGTCCAGTGTTTTTGTAATTTTAAGTAAGTCAATATTATAATCACTAAAAGCTGTATTTGATTTGTCTACCTAATATCTGGGGACATATAAAGGTCATCTTTGTGAAGCTTCAGCTAAAATATTTAAACTCAACAATTGTCACTTAAGTCCTATGATCATAGAGGATTTACTGTACGGCTTTATAGTGATTACTCTGATATAAAACTATTGTTTCATGGTGCACACCCTGTACACTCCACATAAATGCATATGGCACCCTATAGCTCAAAGTCTAATACATTTAAAGCTGATTTCTATACAGTAAAGGAATGTGCGGTATTGTGCTTCCAGGCCTTTTTGACATGCTATTAGTCCCCTGTAATCCCTCCATACAGTTTGTGTGTGTGTGTCCTTTTCACCTGTCACCAGAGCCTGTCGATGTTTACACAAGTTGCACACGGTGAACACAGCCAGATGAGGAGCTGTCAGTCATATTGAGCAGTTCAGGGGGGGTACAGAGCAGGTACGGGGGAGGTAGCAGCACTGATCAGGTACAGGGGGGAGTCATGGCCACTCCACCTGCACCTTCTGAGGCACCATGCTCCAGGCTCTTTGAAGGCGTAATTTATGACCAGTGTTTACACTTGTGTTTTAGTTACCGTCTTCACTCCTGCATAGTTCAGAGATTAGATGGATGTTTTGCTTCATTGACTGGTAATTCTCGTCATTTCAAGGGTTATTTTATAAACTGAAACACAGTAGCAAGGTGCAACTCAAACATCAACATAGAATATACATTGCAGTTTGTAAAATGTGCTACTGTAATATGTGATCGTGGTTGAAACAAGTAAATATGCAGATTTAAGTTTGTTGTAATATACTCAAGTCAAAACATATTTTGTTCTGAGACATATCGTCATGTAAAAAGTTGTGTGCTGTAATCATAAATAACGCAAAACTTGAGTGCCTTTTTCAGACCTCAAATGTCAAAATGTTTTCAGTCACGGGTTGAGACATAAAAGTTATTTGTATGTAATACAAGTTTTCAATTGATGACGCTTTTGGATTCTATGCTGGGAACATTAGTTGTTTCCTCATGTACCTTACCCTAAGTATTGGTCTATTTTAGTTTTATATGGTCAGTACTTCGTCATCACTGAAGTCAGGAGTTAGGAGGAGAAAGTTCTAGTGCCAGTAGCTGAACTCACTTTTTTAATTTAGTAAACATGCTATTTTTAGAATGTAACTTAACACAGCCAAAAGTTAGTCCCTTACTCCCCGAATGACACACCTTTCGAGAAGTGACTCTGTACATCTGCTATTTTTATCAACATAACTTTGATTTTCCTTATTGTTTTTGTTCCCTCTGCTGTCACACTGTAATGTTCCTCTCCTGGTTTTCATTTAAAGATTTGGATTCACACCAAGACGATCCTGATTCTTGCTAAAAAGGAAGGATATGCTTGGATAGTGTTTATGAAAATACTGTGTGCTGACGTTAGTAGCGGTGCAGGACCAGTGACCGGTCCGGTCTCCAAACACACCCACCTTACAGCGCTGCCCAGTTAGGAGTCATTTGTAACTTCAAACTCTTTATAATTCCAATTGGATAATGGCCCTTTGGTTTGCCATTTTGCGGAAAAGCTGTGACGATGCATTAAGTTACATGCTGACAGGAGCCTAATATAAATACGGTATTGAAATTCTGTGCTAACTTTTCTCTATGATGTGACATTGCTGCGCTCCACCCTTTATTACCGAGCTCCTGTACGTTTAAGTGTCTAAAAGTGGTCTGTGGTTGTAGCCATTTTCCATTCCCACCTCATATTACATGTTCTAAGACTGTTCAGGCAAAATGAACTCATCCGGAACAATGCTGGGAAAACCATAGTAATAGTTAAAATGTCAAACTGTCATCTAGTCAAATAAAGCATAACATTATGACCAGTGAATTCACCCCAATTACAGCTTAGTCTTGTCCTCTTTAATTGGTTGTATAGGGTTGTCAAAAAATCATACTCAGATACTAATTACTAGGTACTGAAACTAAATTAAAAACTAGATAGTGATTTGAACAGGTATCACTAGTGAAAAAAATCATATATCCAAAAACTAAAAGTTTGGACATTTGCTGAAGAGTTTTTGAATAGTTTTGATCTTTATCAGAACCAAGAAGGTCCGACACTTGACACTTGACTCCCAGCCTTTTGGTACTGAGTTTCATGTTCTCCACATTTCTGGGCAGATTTTCTTCGGTCACTCCATTTCCCGTCAACCCAAATCAGGCACAATATGTAAAATGGTCCTGATCAAGATAAGATCTGGTGATGGGTTTCTGAGCGCTACACAGGTTGCCTTAAGCCCAGAAGAACTGGTTTACAGGATAGGTCAAAGGCATTTCCCAATGGGATTAATAAAGTATACCTTAACCTTAAGATGAAAGCTCATTTTAAGTTGAATTACCTACTATTCGAGGGTTTTTTATTTTAGTATTGATTATTGTCTTGTATCTATTTTTGACAATTCAACTGTATATTGTATATTGCATAATTAATTGATTAATTTATGGTAAATTCACACTGTTGTCTTGTTGTCTTTTCCACAGTGAGGGCAAATTTCCAGGAAAGAGGTGTCGCCCTGTGACTGACTTCTGAGTATACAAAGGTGAGTGTTTTGAACGTTTGACTTTGTTTGCTGTGCTGCCCTATTTGAGTTGAACCATGTGTCCCTTGTTATTCTTGTTTAGCCTTTATAAGGTGATGTAATTCTTTTTTCTCACAACTTTTTGATTAGGCACAGGAAAGGGTCATGTTTGGTTGGACCCAAGAGACAACAACTCCTCAGAGGGGTTACAGTTGTAGTTGTTATGTTGTATATAGAGTACCAAGGCTGTGTACTTTCAAATAAACACAGTACTTTTGCCTCTGCATTCTTAACTTGGTAACACATATTATATATTGTCAAGGAGGATTTACATTTAAGTTTACTATTACATTTTTAAAGATTTATTCAGGCAAATAAATGCTTTTGCATTTTGTTATTTTTATATATCTTCAATTCATCCGCAGTATTTCTTGTGGATAGGTGGCAGATATTACAGGTTTGTGTTTTTCTGCTCCTTTTACCTTTTTCCTTTTTTAAATGAACAAAATCAACTAAAATGTTGAAAAATAAAAACACAGTAATAATGACATGAGAACACTTCCTTGAATTTGAGAATGTGAATTTGAGAATTGACAATTTTCTCTGTTTCTTCACCTGCATTTTTTTTTCAAAAGGTTTTGAATCAGCAATATAAGACATCTCAATCCCGTCTGTCATCAAGGACAGTGCTTCTGTTCAGTGAAGGTGCACAGTTCATTCACATTAATGTTTGGTTTGTGGTTTGGCTCCGTTAATTACACTATTGCATAACAAGTTTATTAGATTATTAGTTGACTATATTTATTGTGTGTCATGGCAACAAAATGCTGCCCTAGATGTCATAACCAACTTGCAGCTGGTTGTCCTCTTAATGAATAGATAGAAAAACAGATTGATATAGCCTATAATGTCCCTCCATTAACTGAACTGTATATTAGGGTAGTTGTAATTTTTTGTAGATTTCGAAACATGTACTTGTACTGGTAATTCAGTATAATTCTATCCATGTGATCTGTTACATTGAAAGTCAGAGTTACTAAGTACAGTAAAAGTGCCAATCGTCTTTATACCTGTATGCTGTGTACAAGCACTGCATCGCCTGCTCTGATTGGTCAAAACTTAGAGACCATTCATACTTTTAAATCAACTTCAAGTCAGCTTTAAACAGTTTGCTTATTCAAGTTTTTAAATCTGAAATGTTTGTGCTGAAAAGTTGAGTTTTTATCATGCATACTTTGTACTATTACTTAAGTACAGTTTTGGCAGCAGTGCATTTTTTCATGTAACTGTAGTTTTACTTAAGTACAAATTTTCAGTGCTCTCTCCACTCCCCTCTCTCTGCCTCTCTGAGTCCCTTTGACACGGCACTGCTCCATGTTTGCCCAATCATTCAGGGGCCGGATGCAGAGATGAATAGTTAACTAGTGCGGGTCAGCCGGAGACCCCCAGCCTCCAGGCCTCTGCTGGCTCCGTCTGACCTGCTGTTGATACATCTCCATGGTAACAGGCAGGAATTTGATGTTTGTTTGTTTGTTTTTTTACTTATGATGACTGCCAACCTGCTACTTGACAGCCCCTAGATTCAGAACTGAGATTATAATTGCATGGTCAACAAGTTAGTAGTGTTGGAAGTTCCCACTGGAAGTGTGTATGTCTTGGCTAAATAGACAGTCTGCATTTAATAATATTAGGCCCAGATTTTTTTCAAACACAAATATCTAATTACAATTAATAGCTGGATTTTTTTTTCCTTTCTGGAGTTGCCTTGGTTAGGTGTAGGTGTAGCTTTTTGTCAACTTATGTACCAGGGCTGCATGATTTTGGAACATCATCAAAAAAAAAAAAAAAAAAAAAACAATTTACAGATTTACAGATTTTGAAGTTGATATGAAGTTTCAAGAGCATATTTAAACCTGTCCAAGAGGATTAACATTTGAGGAATGACTAAAATTTGCAAACAAAAACATGAATTACATGAAAAAGTTTTTTCATATTTATTTACAGAGAAAATCCTGTTATGTATATGTTGATTGTGAGTTGATGTGCAGCCCTAATTCTTTCATAAGGAACAAGTTTTTTTTTGTTTTTTTTTTAGCTCAGAACCGGACTTGCAGTTCAATATATCGACTCATTTAAGTGTTGTGTGCCTTCATGGGTACTGTATATTGGCTTAGGGCAGGTGAGTGTTTACTTACCTGTCTCTCTTTATGAGGCCACTGTTTGCCCAAGGAATGCACTGTGTCTGATTTATCATTGACTCCTTGTGTTCATCCAACTGGAGCCTTGAGCTTTCCAGAGCCATGGCAAGTGAGAAATATTGTGTTTGTACCCCTTTTTGTTTTCTCTAATTCTTGCTTAAAATTTGAGGGAAGAAAAAGCTGGTTATTGCACTGTGAAGTGAACCTAATGTAAAGGATTGTTTTTTGAGGTTCATCTGGAAATTAATGTTTAAAAAATGTGTTGAAAACAGATGGAAATTAAACATTATGATGTTATAGAATTGGTAAAAATCCCCAAAATAGAGTCTTTGATTGTGCAAGCTTTGAGCTGATGAAAGTGCATGATTGGGAATCATTAAAAGTAGCATTGTTACAGGACCATTGACTGCACACATGAACTCTCAGAAGCTTGTCTTTCTTGTTTTAATGAGAATATCATATCTCAGTATATCTGTAGGTAGATATTTGTATACATTTGCATACTGTTATACCCCTGAGCAAGTCACTTCTTCCACCTTTGTCAGCTATAATTACAGCGCTTAATTCAAAATGGAGACAAATTTTCTCATAACATTGTACTTTTTAAAGAAATATTCAATAGACAGTTAGTACTTTGAGTTAAGGTGTCTAGCACTTTATAACACTTTTTTGCATTGTTGACTGTGTGTTGACCTGTATATGACAAATATGTAAATCTATATAAAATCAGCATTTAAACAATACTAATTTCATCTTCTGTTTATTTGTATTAAATACAGTTGACCAACAGATTGTGATGTCATCCTAAACTCCGCAATAGCAAAAGCTAGTTTTTAATTAAGTGCTTGTTTATTAAGACTAGTGTGTTATTGTTACATTATTAACATAAAGCATATGAAGACTACACATGCGTGAAGGGTGACCATTAAACATACTTGACTGTGCATGTGTGTGTGTGTGTCACTTCATATTTGTGCGCCTGCCGGTGGCCCGGTGTGGGTGGTCCTCACGGCTGGTTTGAGGTAATCCCCCTGTCCCATAAATCAGTGTCCAGGCTTGGGCAGGAGCTGATCCTGGGTGACCGCTGGAGCATGGACCCAAGCACTGCCCCTCTGTCCCGCCACACGTCAGCTCTCCACACCACCTTTAAAATAACTCTGCATGCATGACTGACTGTGGGAGGCAGCGTCCAGCTGCAAGTGCACTCAGACCACCGCTAATGACATTAATGAACTGGACTTATAGCAGGAGTACTTATTTTCAAGTACTCAACAGTGGTACACATATCGAGCATATTATTTACTTCAGCCTAGTTTGTTTTATGATTGTCATGAGAGCAATGGTTCTGACAAATTGCTGACTCTGTCTCCCCACTCAAGTTTCTTAGCTGAAAAAATGTTTGAATCATAAAAAAGCAAGGTGTATATGTGTATATATATATATATATATATATATATATATATATATATATATATATTTATATTATATTTATAAATAAAAGAGCCCGACCGATATGGATTTTGCTGCAGCCGATATGAAACCAATATAATGGGAGTTGAAGCTGCCGATAGCCGATATAATCGCCGATATATTTAGTGATGTAAAAATTCACTGTAAATGTTGAATTGTTTAAAAAACTTAGGTTTGTCTCTGGTGGATTTTAAATTGGTTTTATTTAGGCAACATTTATTGTTATTCTGCCTCTTTACATCATATTTACAGACAGTAGGTTGACTTAATGGTATTTTTGCATCACATTCTAGACCCCAGTGATGGGTATTCCAGTTCTTTTTAGAGAACCGGCTCTTTTGGCTTGGCTCACTAAAAGCTGCTGGTTCTTTTGGCTCCCAAGTGGCTCTTCAGATTGTTTTGTTGCAAGCAGGTCTAAAGCAGGACTGAATCAGGACTGAACCAGGTCTAAACCAGGACTGAAAAAGGACTAAACCAGGACTAAAACAGATCTAGACCACATGTAAAACAGGACTAAACCAAAACTGAACCAGGACTGAGTGTTGGGACTCGGTCTCTATCTCGTGCCCAAGATTAGTCCTGGTTTATTTATTTTATGCTAAACTACAGCCAAATATGCACGTTTTTTTTTTATCCTATGTACACGCAAATTTCTCAAAGTTTCGTTTTCAGCCGCTGTCAAACTACCACGAGTCTGAGTCTGCGTGAAGAGAAAAAAAGTGAGAGAAAGAGAAAACACGGCTCCCAATAAGGATCAGTCTCCCGTCGTTCGCTTCAAAGAGCCGGTTCTAAGAGCCATTTCGTTTCGCGACGGACCCATCACTAGTAAAGAAACTAGCGCTATTAGCCTTTAGCCGTAAATACGTGCGCGCCGCGGTAATTAATTATATGCGCAAATGTCATAATTCACACCTCTATTCACACCTCATTTACATATCAATGCAGGTCCAGTAACAAATATACGGCCAATATAGTCACTTTACAATAGACCAATAGAAAACAGCTTGTTTATGTGCGGGAGCTACAGCAGCTAACCCATAACAAATGACCAAAACTAGCTTCAAAGTCGACATATTTCCAACACTCACCGCTCACACAGGCTCCTCCTCACATCACAAGTCTGCACTAATAAATGTCCTTTTAATCCAGACTCAAACCGATTGTCCGTAAAAAGAAAATAATCTCAGTGTAGCACATGGATCTATGTCTGCTCATGTAAACAAACACACCTGAGTGAGCGACTCTGTGGTGTGTTCAGGGACAGTACGGACACACACAGACAAATGACTCCGCAGATAAATACTGATGCAGAGCCACATATTTGGACATTTATCTGTCTGTAAATTGGATTAA